ATTGAAAACAACAACAACAAAAAACCCAGAAAATTATGAGATGCTAAGGGAAGAAAGTAGCTTACAAAATAATATATAATGTGTGATCCCATTTTTAAAACCTATGTATATAGAATGTGTGTATGCATTAAAGAAGAAGTGGAAGTGCATTAGTTGACAGATTTTTCCCATGTTTTTATGACTTCCAAATGAAAATAATTCCAGGGAAACACCTTGTTAAATGGGGTGGGGGGGAGGGGTGGCCGGGAGAATATGGAATGAGAAATCTTATTTGGTGTGATAATGGATTATGTTAATTTTTTGTTACCTACTTGTATTTTCTCATTTTTCTACAGTACCATGTATACTGTTTATATATGCTTTTTTAAAGTATTTTTAGATAAGAAAGTTATTAAAATTGAAGGAGAAATCCTTTCTGATCAGACTTGTACTATATCATGGCAAACCAAAATAGATAGCTGCACAGTATGTATCTTTAAGATTTCAAATTATGACCTAGTATATGGTAGAAATATAACGTCACTTCTAGCAAGTCCCTAAACTTTGCTTAGAACCCATATTTCGTCTGCCTGTCTGGCAAAAGATTCTCAAACTGTTCAGATGCTCTGAGGCTGGTAAATAGCTGTTGCTACCAGTTCTGATCTACTCTATTCTCAGTGCCCCTCTGGTGGGTGAACAGTATCTTCTTGTATCAGAGGGCTGGCACCAGCTGGTGATAATGAAATCAATCTATCTGGCCCAGCAATCTGCTTGCTGAAATACGCTAAGCCATACCCAACTATGAAAAGCTGTTCTAAAATCTCAGCAACTTTTTTTTTTTTGTCTTTAATTTTTTTCTTTTCTTTTGTTTTTTCAGCAACTCATTTTTACTTGATTCAGTTTCTTTCTTCTGTTAGATGGAGATGATAACACCTGTTCCGCCTCCCTCCCATGATCATTGTGAGACTAGGTATATAAGAAAGACTTTTCAGAAAAGAGACCTATTCCCCACCCTTAAATCTTCTCAGCAGCTTTATTTATAATCTCTAAAAACTGGAGATAACCCAAATGACCTGCAGTTGGCGAATGAATAAACAAAATCTGGTACATCCATACAATGAAATACTACTCAGCAATGAAAAGGAACAAATTACCAAAACCTTCAACAGCATGGATGAATCTTAGAGGCATTATACTGAGAGAAGCCAGACCCCAAAACTATATCCTGTATGGTTCAATTTATGTGAATGTGTATTCCAGGAAAGGTAAAATCATAGGGATAAAAAACAGATCAGCGATTGCAGGGCCACAGGGGAGTTTTGGGGGTTGTTTAATGGAACTGCTTTGTTTCTTGATTGTGATAGTGACTGTATGCTTTGTCAAAACTCACAAAAGCATACACTCAAAAGGCTGAATTTCACCGTATGTGAATTGCACATACAAGCAACAGATTTTAAAAGAAAACCTGTTCAGGGTCTACGGTGAATTCCTTGGAGTTCATGAGAGCTCTGTGATGTGTGACTTACAGGATATGTGAGCTTTTCTGGAGCAGGAGAGGGGAGGATGGAGCACAGAAACCTTTCAGCTGAACCAAGTGAAATATCTCTTTTCAGGGAGTTTGTCAGGGAGAAAAAGTACCAGACAGAGGCCGAGACCTTTGGGTGGAGCTTTGTCTTTGAGGACTTTGTCTCCGATGAGCTTAGAAACAAAGCAACTCAGCAAATGAAGGTGAGAAAACCTGGGCGTGTGGTTGAGGGAATGGGAGTGGGACCTGGACATAGAATCCTGTGGGATGTGGGGTCACCTGGACCACAGTAGAAATCAAATCTGAGAGCTGGAGGCAGCAATTGAGAGAAGCCCTCCCTGGAGGGTTCAGGTGAGCACCCAGTCCCAGGAAGCGAGCCCTGAGCTAGTTCCTGCATAGAGAGATACATATAAGGTTCAAGATACGTCCTGAACAAGCAGAACATCCTGACAACCTCCCTCTAGTGAGGGTCCTGAGACATTATACTTTAAAGATTCCAGACACAGCCTCACTTGGAGCACCTGAGTCTCGGCCTGAAATGTCTGCCCCGCCTCCCGTGTGTCATTCAGGCAGGTGCCGCGCTGGGTTTGAGCATCTTGCAGTCTTGTCCCTGTTTTCAGCCATGCTCTTTCTTCTTTGTAGCCTGTTCTCTGGTGGCTTCCAGTGGAAAGGGCATTCTGGAGGCAGGTAAGGTTTGGTTTCTGCACCTTGTTTTCTACCCCTGGAGGGCTGGCTTCCCTAGACCCCTCGCCCAGCTGGGAATACTAAGTTAAAAAGGCTGACAGAGGAATTTCAGGAAAACAGACAAGTGACTGTCTCCTCTGCCCTTGTTTTTTTTCTGTCGCCCATCCCAGTTTTCAGTCTCATGTTAGTCTCTCCTTTCTGACTCTGGACCTCTCCTCACTTACCAGGCTCTCTCTTCCAACTTCTTTGCTTCGCCTAGTGTCACAAGCTGCACTCAGGTACCCTAAGCCTAGCCTTCCTAGACTTCTGTGAGCTCCTAAAGCCTGTCTCACTTCACTCCTCCCGGCTATCAGCCTGCAGGTCCCGGCTCGGGCATCCGAGAGAGGCTGGAGCTCCCAGTGGTGCATGTGAGCTGGAACGATGCGCAGGCCTACTGTGCTTGGCGGGGGAAACGGCTGCCCACCGAGGAAGAGTGGGAGTTCGCGGCCCGAGGGGGCTTGAAGGGTACAGAGATGCCAGGGCGATTTCCCTCTGCACTCTCCATCCTGCCAGGCACTGGGGGGGGGGTGGTTTGAAGGGTGGGAAGGCTCCATGCTCCCTAGAGCAGTGCTTTTTCAAGCGTGTAGTGAAGGACCAGTTCCTGTTGTTATTTTCACTTCTCATTTATCTCAGACCAATAGTATGTAAAATATCATAGAAATTCATAACTGGAAAATGGAATGAAAAAAACACTAATTTTTTTTATTGTTGGAGATTCCACAGACATGTTACATTTCAAAAAATACAGTCAGAACAGCATCGCATAGAGAAAAAGAGGAGAGCTGTCCAAACCGCATGCCTTTTCCATAGGCCTATAGAGAGTAATATTAAAAATTGCTTGTTGCTCGTAACTTTGTTGTTCCGCAATCCTAACTAAAAAAGACAGTTATGAGAGTGACCTAGCAATTCCTCATATTCAGGACCTCTACACACTCTTCACGTGAACACCAGCTATACCAATACAATAGTCAAAGTTAGTACTGTGATACATGAGGGTGCTTGTTCTTTTAGCTTGTAAGTCCAATGAACTAGTTTCTCAGTGGTTACTCTCAATTTTCGGCACCGATCTCCACGTGAACTGGTAACAAAATGGTTTACAGACTGGCCTTGATCAGAACCACACCTAGGATTGCACTGCCCTGGGGGTAACACAGGAGGTGGGGCTCCAAATGCAGTGCAATGAGTGGAAGGGATGGGCAGGGGATAGAAAAATAACTTCCTTTGGGTTCCCCCACTCTTTCTGTCTTTCCCAACTCTTCACCTCTCCCTCCACTGCTGTCTCCTTGCTCTCCCGGCAGGTCAGGTTTACCCCTGGGGAAACCAGTTCCAGCCAAACCGCACCAACCTGTGGCAGGTAAGAGACATCCCTCACCCCTGACCCTCCTCAAAGCATTGAGACCTGCCGTAGGCCAGGCATTGTGTTAGGCTGTGGGATTCAGAGAGCTTGGGTTCTAATGGAACTGAAAGCTGGTTAAGGGGTGAAGCAGGAGACAAGGTGGTAGTGCAGAGTGTGCTCGGGAGGAAGTCATTCATTGCCTGAGAGCACTGGGGGTGACTTCCCAGAGAAGATGACATTCGAGCTGATCAAATGGGAGTGTGCCAAATGAAGAGTGGAGGAAAGGGTGTTCCAAGCATAACAGAAGAAGCAATGTGAGTGTTGGCATTGTATTAGGAAAGGCTACTGGGTGTTTGGAAACATGACAGATTCGGAGAGGCTGGAGCATTGGGAAACAATTGGGGGGGGGCGGGCCTAGGAAACGACATAGACAGTGGATTGGAGGCAGATTTTGAAGGAGCAGGTGTGCCCAGGTATGGTTTTAAATTTTCCCCTCTAGGCATTGGGGAGCCACTGGAGGTTTTAAAACAGGGGAATAACAACATCAGGTGTTAACCTGTGGGATGCTAATGGTTGCTCATTTGTGCAGGACCAGATGAAGTAGAGCTGCAGAGGTGGCTGGGGGTCTCTAGATTTGAGTCTGTGGCAGTGGCCCAGGTGATTACAAACACGTGAATTAAGTGGAAGTGGGATAGAGAGGAAGCCAAATGGGAGAGGCATGTCTGAGCAGATAGACAGGGTTTGGTAATTAATCAAATGTGGAGGGGTGGAAAAGAGTTGGACTCAAGCATGAATCCAAGTTTGAAAAACAGAGCGATGGTGCTGCAACTATCCAAATAGATAATATGCTTGTTGGGCCAGAGGGATAGAGCCTGATCAGTGTAAGATCAGCTTAGCTTAGGATGTCTTTGGGTCCTTTATATGATCAGTCAGAAGTTGAAAATGTGAGTCTGAAACTTAGGACAAAGGTCTGGGTCAGAGCAAGTACTTGAGAGTCATCAGTATATACCTTAGGAAAGAATGACACACACACACGCCCCAGGAGACTGTCGAGTGAGGGGAGCACAGCCTCAGTGTTTTAGGGAGAAGCATTGAAAAGGGCCTGAGGGTGAGACTGACTTTTCAAATGATCTTGGGATCAGAGCTTTGCAGAAAGAGATATCTGACATACACTGTTTAATCTTTGATAAAGTAACCATTTTGAGCCTCAGTTGCTAGTTGTTAGGCTTTTAAAAATGTTTTTGTTGATTTTAGAGATAGAGGAAAGAGAGGGATAGAGAGACAGAAACATCAATAGGCTGCCTCCAGCATGCCCTCCACTGGGGATTGAGCCCGCAACCGGTGACCTCTTGGTTCATGGCTCTACGCTCAACCACTGAGCCACCCTGGCCGGGCAGTTGCTAGTTTTTTATAGGGAAAAAAACACTTGCCTCACAATCTTGCAAGGATTAAATTAAAAGACATAAGTGTAGGCCCTGGCCGGGTAGCTCAGTTGTTTAGAACATTGCCCTGATACACCGAGGTTGCAGGTTTGATTCCCGGTCAGGGCACTAAAAAAAGAAAAAGACGTAAGTGTAGCAGCCCTAGCACATGGTGGGTGTTGAGTAAACTACAGTCCCTTCATTTTCTGTTTCAGAAGAGCAGCTGCCATAGAGTCATGGCAGCTGAACCCAGTTTTAATGAGAGGCATGAACAAGTTGAACAAATCGCATTTGCAAATATAGATTACTTTTTTAAGAATTTTGGTGGTAAAGAGCAAGAGGTGAGGAAGGCAGAGTCAGGGCAGATGAGGCAGAGTTAAACCTATGGGTGGTAGAAGAGAGAGATGGCACCAGAGAGCATAGGATGGGCATCTGTGGTTCCTAAGAAGGTGGAGGGTGCAGGGCATGGAGAAGGGGAGGAGAAGCCTTTCTTCCCAAGGCGCCTAGGACACGGGGCTGGAGGCAGAGGGGAGGCAGGCTCTGAGAGTGGGGAAAGTGGGAGTGGGATGGGCTTGACACGGACCACTGCAGGCACAGGGGAGACCACACACTTCCTGAGCCAGCTGGGAGGTCATGGCGGAGGACATGAGGCACTGGTTTGGGAGCTCAGGCTGGGAACTTCTGATCACTGCCATATGCCCTTCCCCCTATTCCAGCACCATGACCTTGGTTTTCTTGTGGGCAGGCAGGAACACCTGCCATGGGACAGGATGGTAAATCTTCCTAAATCTCTTTCCCTTAGGGAAAGTTCCCCAAGGGTGACAAGGCTGAGGACGGCTTCCATGGGGTCTCTCCAGTGAATGCATTCCCCCCACAGAATAACTATGGTAAGATTTCTCATCTGTCAACATTCACAAACTGGCTGGTGGGAGCAGATCTGATAGATGAGGCAGAGAGAAGTGCTACCAGGGGAGCATTCACTTCCCAGGGCATTGACGGCTAGCAGGTGGGCATCATGCTTCCCAGCTTAGAACTGACCCACCTGCTGTGCTGCAGGGCTCTATGACCTCATGGGCAACGTGTGGGAGTGGACAGCTTCACCATACCAGGGTGCTCACCAGGACATGCGTGTCCTCCGGGGGGCATCCTGGATCGACACATCCGATGGCTCCGCCAATCACCGGGCCCGGGTCACCACCAGGTAAGGAGCTTGGTAGATGGGGGCTGAGAGTCTGGGACGTGTCCTCTCAGAGCACAGGCGCCACCACAGCTGGTCTTGGCACTGCTTCTGCATCTCTACTTCCACCAGGAGATGTGGTTATGGAAAAGAAAGGCAGTGCTTGCCAGGAAAAACAAAACAGTCCAGGACAACTTGTGCCTTTTCTTCTCAGCTCTCAGCACCAAGGGAGAGTTTGTGTCCAGCATCTCAATTACGTGGGCTTCTCTTCTTGTCCTCATAAGTAGGTGTGCAGAGGGAGGGAAGTAGAATGGCCACATCAATAGGTCATGGCCATGGGTCATGGCAGTGCTGACTCTTTAAACAAGTGGGCTCATGAAAACTCATTTCTACAATCATTTTGATTTACAGTCAAGTTAAAAATGGGCTCAGGTGGGTCCTGGGACCTGTTCATTTCACACAGATGGTTAGTGGTGGCACCTGAATGGTAGAATCCCAGGCTTCTGGTCCCCTTTCTACTTCATCCATCTGTAGATTTATTTCTGTTGATCTCTCTGCAACTTCTCCTACTCCTGGGCTCCATAAGGACTGTAGAGGCCACTGTTTCTGTGGCCTCAGGATATCAGGTTTGCAGGTGTTTCTTGGACCCACAGAGGCCCCTGGATTCTCTCAGGTGTTTTTTTTTAGGACAAAATAGTAGAAAAAGTACTGGCCTGGAAACTGTGTCTCACACTGATTCTGTTGTGCCACTGAAGCAGTGGTTGGCCTTGGGCAAGAAATTTAAACCTTTCTAGTATCTGATCCTGGGTCTATAAAATGGTGAACAAATCGTGCCTTCCAGAGCAGCTGGAAAATGGCAAATGAGGGATATATGTGAAACTTCTTTGAAAAGAAGCTTCTGGCACTGTGATACTCTCACTTCTTGCCAACAGTTTTTTTTCCTTCAGCTTAGTTATTCCTAACTATTAGCAGTCAAAGCTATTAGTCATGGTCTTTCCTGCCTCCCAGTGCAATGTCTCAGGACCACTCTCTCTTCCTCAACCCTGTCCCAAGGCCGCTTTATGTCCCCAGGAGTGCCCTCTGACCAGGCTTATTTCCAGACCATGCCCTCTGCAGTCCTCGGGGCCCCCCAGACCACAGCAGTCCCTGGGAGGTGGAACAGGAAAGTTGGGTAAGGCCCAAGGCCCCTTTCTCAACAAATGTTCATTCTCTGTCCCCTTTTCTGTTGGCAGGATGGGCAACACTCCAGATTCAGCCTCCGACAACCTGGGCTTCCGCTGTGCTTCCAATATAGGCCGTCTGCCGGGGGAGCTGTGAGCAGCCACTCAGAGCCAAGGAGAAGAGCCCCCGTGGTACCCATGCCACTCCCTGGTCACATTCCAAACAGCCAAACTTGAAGCTCTTCAGATTTAGCCTCGGGAATGATGCCTTCCCCTTCCCCCATTCCTTTATGACAGGCACCTATCACCAGGGCAGAAGAGGCCTCTGGCCTCAGAGGAGCTGCTGTCTCTTGGTGAAGGGGCCCAGCTCACTGATTGTGGTGGGAGCTGGGTGTTTCTCTTAGAGGTAAAATATTAACCATACAGGGGCCAAATACTCAAATGACTGGGGCAGAGTATTCTTAAAGGCAGTTTGTTAAAAAAAAATTTAAATCTGTTCCCTCCCCCTTTCTCTGTGTCTGATTCCGGGATCTGACATTGTTTCTGAGGGCAGAATTTCCACAGTTCTCTTTGTTTTCCCAGAAAATGACTGTAGGAAGGAAATTCTTCCTTCATTTCCCTCATGTATAGTGTTCTATGTGCCTCTGAAGGAACGTAATTTCCACTCTCTGTAAGTAAAACGCAGTGATGTGGCCTCTTTCAAGCACAATTCCGTCTTCAAAGGGTCTGGGAGAACCAAGTATATACCAGGCCAAACTGCGCATCGTGCGAGTCACAAAGTAAATAGTACGCCAGTGAGACAAGCGTGAAGTGTCCCTTTCTGTTGTTAGTTATATGTAAGGGCTCCCATATGCCTCTGAAAACCTGCCCCCTTGAGAGAAGAACCTGCTCCCATGTGTCCCTGGACACTGAGGTCAGTAAAGTCTCCTGTGATTGTATACCTCAGACTGCTGTCCGTCTTTTCTCCTCACGCTGGGACCCTCAGGGAGGTGCACCCGAGTGTTAGTAACTCTGGGCCTCCCATGAGGAGAGACTGAGATGGTGGTACAGCCGGGATGTGGAGAGCAGGACCACAGCTCGTCCCCTCCTGTGGGCCTGGCCTCATCTGCACTTACCACTGTGTGAGGGGAGTGCCCGCTCTTCCTGTGCAGAGCCTCTGAGCAGCGATGGCCCAGGCCCAGGCGGCCTGGCCAGGATCAAGGGGCCCTCTGCACAGTCTCATCCCTTTGGTTAACGTTTCTGTGGCTTCCCCTCGCTGCCGGTGCCCTCGTTCCCCCTCCCTCCTGCCAGCCCCTCAGTAGTCCTCCTCGACCTGGGAGAACAGCACGGCCTTGGGTTTGTTCTCAAAGAGGGCCGCCCGGTTCTGCGCCTGGCCTTTCTTTACCCAGTGGCCATAGATCCGGAAAGCGTAGGCGTCGATGAGTCGGCGCAGAGGCCGGAGGGAATAGGGGTCACAAATGACGATCTCCCGGGTCACAGGCTTCACCCGGTGGTACAGGTAGTAGATCCGCACTGAAGCCAGCACCGTCAGAGCGATCACCTGAGGAAGGCTGGGACTGAGCCTGGGCCAGCCCCTGCAGGCCTGCCTCCTCCCATCCAGTGCGGGGAGGCCCTGAGCTTGTGGCTTTTGACGGGCCCTTCCCAGTGTTCCCCCCATTCCTGCCCCACCAGGCATCCGAAAGCATTTAGACTGTGGGAGCCAGTCAGGTGACACCTGTCTTCCCTGAAGCCAGAGGTTCCCGGAACCATCATGG